TCAGAGGCTGCTGTTTCTGTCTTTGCTATGCAGAAATTCAAGTTCGCATTTATACATCTGCGAAGCTGAGGGTGTAATGTGTGATTAAGTGGTTCGGTGTGAGTTTCAAACAATTACATTTCTGTACTCTGATGAATATTCCCTCCGACACACCACACGTGATCTGTTTATTGGCTGTTTGGCTTCAAACGTCAGATTCAGACCGCAAAGAGTCGATAATTCAGGGGTTTGTGGGGCGTGGTGGTGGTGGTGTGACTGTACCTGCAGGCAGAAATGTGCCACATATGTAGTTCAGACAAATTTGTCTGAGTTACATAATCTGTAACCTATAGCCTATAACAAAAAGGTATTTTACATGCTTCTCTTTTAAATTTCTCCTGAATAGCCCAGTATCTATTTCCTCATGAGTCATGACACTTTCTCTACTGTCAGTCTGCTACGTTAACTACAGCCCTCTGACTACAGCCACACTTCAGTTGATGACTCTTAAACACTGTTTACCTGTTGTACACATAATGTCAAAGCTGTGATTTCTTCTCATTTTCCTGATAGATTTAGTTCATTTTAGGAATTTTAAAACTATTTAAAAACACAGAGATTTGCAGTAAATTCCCTAAAGAAAGCTGGTTTAAAACATCAAGATCACCATTCAGATTAAATTTCTTTCAGGGAAGATCCAAAACCTCTTCGGTGGTCACCAGCAGGATTTATTTAAAGAAAAACAAAACCGTAAATCTCTGAAATATCATCCTGCTTCTTTTTGTGGAAATAACCTCAAATTTGCAGGAAAATCCTGCAGCTGTGGCTTGGGCTGCCTGCTGATGCTAATACTTAAGCAGTGAGTCCTTGGTCCAGTGTCTGGCTGACCCTCCTTTACTGAATGTTAAAGAATTGAATGTTAAAGAACAGGGAAACCTTCAACCATGCAGTACTTTTGAGCTCATGCTGTGTCATTGTTTGACCAGCAGGTGGCAGCAGAGACTGAACTGTCATCAGTCTGATAATGAAAAAATGGCGTAATGACGTTTTTAACCTAATAAATAATTACATATATAGCAAATGGTTCACATCAGTTGATCAGTGCCTCTCCATCTGGCCAGCAGGTGGTGCTGCAGGACTACAAATTGCTCAAACTGTGGCTTCACAGGCTGACAAGTCAACCATAAGGAGTCAAACACAAAAAAGTGAACACATGAAGACAATAAAAGAGCAGTTTTGATGCTGCCCTGTAACTGGAAAAGTTTTTCCTAAAGAATTATGATATATGTCACACACAGCCACAACAAAAATATATTCACAGTAGGAAAGTGCTTCACAATTTAAAGGAAAGTGACACATTAAAGATATTATAGACGTGTACACACATACGAGTTGTGAAGCAGCCAGTAGTAAAAGACACATTCCCAGAATAAACTAAAATGAGTACGGTGTTTAAGAACAGGCAGGCCTATGAAAACAAGCTTTCACATGATTAAAGCAAACCACAGATTAAACTGAACTGACGTGCTGAGGAATTTAAAACTGCATTATTTCTAATGACCAGCGGGGGGCAACTGCTCTGAGTGCAAAGAGAAAATGGCCCTCGGCTCTTTGGATTTCTGACCTCAGCATTCAGTTTCCTCATGAGCGCGTTAGCTCACTTGCTCGTGTATGCAACATGATTTTTGTTTAGTAAAATACAAAAATATCAAAGTGTTAGTCAATCAGTGTGAAGTATGAGATTCATGCCATCAAGTCCAGTTTTAAAATGTTAAAATACTAAAAAGGTGATGCCATCTTTTATATACAGTCTGTCCTTTACTTTAAACTTTGGAGCTGTGGAGGTCTCAGTAACAAAAAAGAAGTATTAGTGTTATTATGTCAATTACTTCTACTTAATTATGTGACCTTTAAGCCTTAAATGTGGAGATTGAACTGTAATCAGTAGAAATCCATCAGAGAAGCAGCAGACACACCTATTTTTGCTAGAGGCAAATGATCTACTCGGGTTTGTTTGTAAGCCATCGACTGGGATCGTTAAACAAATTCACCTCAGCCACAGTTCACGATGAGTCAGTGCTCCGGTACTTTGTGGTTTGTTCTGGGTAATTGTGCGATTGTTTTAAGAAATAATCAGTGTGACTCACGTCACTCTGGTTTTCTTCACCCGATGGGTTTGAGTTCCACAGCAGATAGGAAAAAAAAGAAAGTTTCTAACAGCTGACTCACACAGAAAACTTTAATGAAACACAAAATGCTCTCATTGGTGAGCTTGTAGGAACACAAAGTGCGTCACCAGCACAGATTCAGAACTTCTGCATCAAAAGACTTAATTTCAATAAATCAGATCACCATGAAAACTGACAACATTCTGACACATTTTTAGTTTTTTTGAAATTTTGACTTTAAATCTGCAAATGAGGCTTCGTTTATTTAAATGTTCACACATCTGCAGAGTTTTCCAGAGCAGAAATCCCAACACTGGACAAATGCAGTCTTAAAATTATTGATCTCTTTTCATAATCTGGTGGACCCAAAAATGCATACATACACAGAGTTTAGTATCTATCTTATGACAAACCCATAGGGCCAACTCCATCTCCACCCTACCCAGCTGAGTCACAATTAAGACAGTTAAAGTGTGTGTTAATTAAGAGGTAGTCAAAGCAGGAACTTCCAATCAGAATCTCTATGTACCTGATCCATCATCCTGTTCCAACATGGCTCTGCACCAGTGCAGAAAGCAAGGTCCATAAAGACATGGATGAGAAACTTTGGTGTGAGGCCTGAGTCCTGACCTCTGTAAGTACTGCAGGTGATTTGTATGGAGTAGCAGGTGTGGGAGCTATTGGGGATCCAACAGGAATCAGTGAGTAGACAAACCTCTCAGAAAACTGTACATGTACACGTGATAATGACTAGAAGAAAGAGAGAATCCAGAGGCGAGATGTATGTATGTATATATATATATATATATATTGTAGGGCAAATGTGATTGTGCTCAAATTTGCAACGTCCCATAATCACTGTCCATTAGATCAGAAGCAACATAGACTAACTAAAACCACCAAACAATGAGAAATTATGAACAAATGATACAAAACGATACAAAATGACCAAAACATGATAAGATTATCTCAAATGAAATAAAAACAATCACCAAGAAAAGTGTGGAGGTTTACTTGTCCACATGTAGCTATCAGTCAGTTTTTGGGCCTCAGGTATGATTAAAAGAAACCCAACAGTGAGCAGAGAAGGAGACGTTTGGGTTACCTGAGTCTGTTTGAGGCACAGCTTTAGTGTGGTGGCTAACAAACTGCTCACTGATGAACGTATGGTGCAGCTCTGGATTGTTTGTAAGGTCAGTGAAGAAGTTACAGAGGCTAAAAGGTGAGTCGTGAGCATTTTTATCAATGCCGATCCCCCGAGAGAAACTTCAGAAGTGCACAATCCGTGTGTTATGATTTATCCTCCTCATCATCGTCATAATCCTCCATCAGTCAGTGATCTGAATGTCAAACAGGCTGCAGTGACTCATTCTCGCAAAAATAGGGTTTAAGTTTAGACAATTACACAGAGGTTCGCGGCGGAGCACAGCGTGCTCTGCGTTTGTCGGCAGACTCGTAGAGTCATCGTTCCACATCGGTGGAGAAGATTTAAAAATGAGCGAGGGAATCCTGACCTTTTCACGCGTCAGCAGCTTCTGCTCCAATGTCTTCAGTCAGCTGTGAAGGTTCGTCATCAGTCTCTCTGAAAGCGACAGCGGTGGAGTCATTCATTAAACATCAAGAATGTCACCAAGTGCTCAAGTGTGACAGACATCACTCCAGCTATCCTGTAAAGTGCTGATTTATTCTTGACTCCAGAGAGAATGTTTTGCTTTTTACTCCAAATTTCAGTTTTCTGCTTTGTTTTACAGACGTCAGTAAATAAACTAAAGAACTGGATTTAGTATCTGTCAGCACAAGATGATACTGATGCGAGACGTGCTTGGTGCGTGTAATTTGATAACACAAAGTAGGAAGCACAAATAAGTCTTCATAACAGCTTAGTTTGCTAGTCTTAAAAAAACATTCTGATTGGGTTTCTCACGCTGAGTTGGTTCAACACATCGTCCCTTGATTGAGTAAATCTGAGAAGATTTATTATCTATTTATCTAGGATTGTGTGGAATTTCGTGTCTTAACATCATTTTCCATAGCTGAATGCCAAAAACAGTTTTTCCTGTATTGACCACTGGAGGCTCCAGCAGTGAGTCAGCCCCTATAGACTGCAATGTAAAATATTCTACTTTAGATCCTGATACAAACACCGTTTTGGTCTATGTATTTAAGGTAATGTAACAGCTGTGCACAGGTCATCTTTTTCAATTTAGGGGCGTGGCCTCTTTGACAGAAAGCTAAGTGGTGACAGCTGTAACTGCTAGCTGTATGCTATACTACACCTAAGCTAATTGGAGTTCCTGAACTTGACCTCTGGACTGTGTTTGTGCTGTTAGAGCCTTTTGGAGCATTTTTAATTACATAATTTGACCAATATAATGGCTGATGTGAAATTATTGTACTAACAGACTGTTCAAGAAGTCCATGTTCTGGTTCTCTGGTGAGTGAGTGGGATTTTATTCTGATGTTAATGATTACCATTTGGTAGGTATCTTTGTCTGTGCAATATAATCACTTTTGGTTCTAAAGAATCTCACTTGGCAGTGGCCAAAACACTAAAGCTTCACTGAAGCTTCAACAAGCCATCTCATGGGTAACACAGTGGCTTCTGTCTTTTATATATAGTTTGTGGCACCTTTACTTGCAGGCTCTTACTCCACCACTGGGTCTGCATCTGACTGCTGTGGCTCCCATGAGGTTCTGACTGAGTGGCTGTTGGTGAGACTCAGAGGATAAGTTCCCATAGGTTTCTATGTTGGTTATGTTTCAAAATAATACACATATATACAAGACAGTTTGACTGTCATGTATTTGTTCTGTTCTTTCTGGAAAAAAATAGAGAGACAGCTCAGTGCAGTTTAGGCCACACACCTTTATTCATGTCACAAAACTAAAACTTCATTCTCAGTTTTACAAATTAAAACAAAAGACACTCAAATATTTTACAGTCGTTTACAAGATAACCAGAAATCAGGTGAAAGGATGAAGTTTGAACCATTCAGGTTTTAACAAAGCTTATGAACTTCTTTATTTTTATTTATTTTAAGTGCTGGTCATAGAAAAGTGCAGCAGTCAAACTGCCACAGAGCACACATACAAACAGTCATGCTTTTCTTTATTTCTTTTTTCCTCTTTTTTGTTAAATTTGCTCTGGTGCTATATCTGAACAAAGTGGGCGGAGCCAGAGACACCACCCATATCTTTTTTTTTTTTTTTTTTACACAAACAGCACATTGATTGTTTGTTTTTTTTTTTATCTTGTTTTTCACCCTCAAGCTCACATTAAATTTGGGTGGAAGCTCATGCAGATCATGCAGGATGTGGACAATGACCATGCAGCACACTTACTTTAAATATCATTATCTGAAACCCAGTTTACACACAGTCATTTCATTTGTTTGAAAGTTAAAACCAAGTAGCAGCTTCTTAAGCTCAAAGGTGAAGCTAAAATCTGCAGTTCCTCTAATGTCCACTAGAGGCTCTAGCAGTGAGTAAACCCCATAAGCTCCCACATTAACACGTCCAGCTTTACAGCAGAAACAAACATGTTTTTGTTGGTCTCTATAGATAATTTCCCCCTTCATAATAACTGTAAGTGGGGAGAATGTTTTTGTAACTCACCTGTTCAAATTTTATTAAGGCTTACTAAGTTTCTGCTGCTATGGGTGTGGCCTCTTTGGCAGGTGGATACACATATAGATGGTTGTAGCTGCCAGGCTTCACCTCAGCTAACTGGGGTCGGTGAGGAGCATTTTTAAAGGCTTGCTTAGAAACATGTGATGAAAAAAAATAAATTACAAAAATTGTAAGGCCAAAATGTTACAGACTTTACTTGAAATGGAAACACCAAACACGGAAAATGAACCAAATAAACCGCTCAGTGGATACTGAATGGTGTAAATGTCAAAGTACAAATGAGATCTTTTTGATTGATTCAGTTGATTTGGGACAGCTAGCAGTGGACAGTTGTTGCCTCAGTGGAAGTAGTTTCCCTGGATCTTCACAATGAGGGTAAAATGAAGTGTGAGGTTGACAGGAGGCAGAGTACAGAGGACTAATGCAGAGGACTGTTGTGGTTCAGAGGAATCTGAGCCTAAAGGCAACATTTCTGATTTACCAGACCACTTTCTAGACCTGGGAATGACCATCTGGACTGTAGTGCTTAACTTGTTGTGAACAGTCTACTATTTAGGGTTAAGTTCAGATTCACATCTACACTTTTATTTGGAATTTTCACCTCTGCAGAAGTCGTAGAAACAGAAGTGAACGAAGGTAAAACATTTAATTTGAAAGGCAGCATCTTGTTTCTTTAAGTGAGCTTGTTTAGCATTTGGCTAAACTACAACCGAACCCTAGCGCCAGCAGTAAGCGTTTCACCAGTGACCTGGTGGATGTTTAGAGGTCAATCTGTCGCCACCGCAAACCTGACTTCAAATTACTTACAAGAAAAGAAAAAAAGAATGGATGAATTCACGGATTGAAATCTATGACAGCTTAATAATGCTCATTGAGGTGCACATGTATGACAGTATAAATTAAACTGAAGAGAAAATCAAATGTTGACATTGGGCCAAAATGAACAAACATTAAAAAATGAAAGATTTCTCACAGTCTACACAGAAAGAAAAAGATTGTCACAGTAGCTTGTATTTACAACAATATGTACACACATTTACTGTACATACACCCACACACACACACACACACACACATGCAGCATCCTTTTGCTCAAGTAAATTACTTTTGTACATCTGGGTAAAATTATGCTTCCTTAGTCCAAAACAAGAAGTGTAAATGCTCCTGATTACTGAAGGTACATGAGATCGGATCTTTCTAATGTAAACCCATTTGGAGAGTTAAAAGTGTCAAATGGAGACAGTAGACAAGGCTTAAATCGAGAGAGAAAGCATGTTTTACAGATTTAGCCTGTTTAAGGTGGATTAAGGGCTCAAAGGTACATTCCTCCATGCTGAATCATTTGCCACAGGACACTTGGTTCAATATGAACCTTCTGTTTCTTATTCCTATGATCCCAAGTCTTTTAATCTTTAAGTACTTACCACCTGGAACACAATCTAGAGCGAGTTGCACCTGAAACACCAGGTGTCCCCCTTTCATTTACTAGCATCATTAACCTTTAAAGCTGCAGTGACTGTGCGAATATTATGAATCATGCATGAGCTGTTAACTCACACTAGATGTTTTGATGACCCTTACTGCAGCCCGAAGCTCATCTTGTGTCCTGCTCGCACTCTTACATTCAGTATTCTGACATCATAATGCGACCATGTTTAATTTGAACACTCATGATTGGGAGAGGAGATGGTTTACTCCGTTTGGAGGACCAGTTGTGATGTTTTTCCCAGGTGTTGAACACGAGCTTCAGCTCTCCGTCTCCTGACGCCTGTTTTCAGGATGGACTGTGACGACACTCACAAGGACGCTGCACTTTTCACACACACCCGCGAAAACATGAGCTGTTACCAGAAGCATGCGGGGCAACATTTGGTAACACTGCGCTGTAAATTGTGTCATATTTCAAAATAAAAGCTGCTGAATTTATACCCTTGATAATGCGTGTGTTTCTGTGTGTGGGTGTCTGTCCTCGTCAATAAGATTAACGGACCAAACATAGGTCCCATCTTCTCCTGCTTTTCCTAATTTGTACTTCTTCAGAGTTTTGCCTTTGCCTTGGACAGTTTGCTGCAGGAGAAAAAAAAAGATGGTGGAGAAGGTAGACAACAACAGAAACTGGTGGGGAGTTCATGGTGAGCACCCTTCATTTCCTTTCACCATCCTTTGCTACATTTGCTGCCTCACAGTCCTGTCAGTCAGTCTGCTGTGGATTATACATACGGTACATGTTTGTGTTGGTTTTGTCTCACTTGACAAAGCCTTGATGTGCCTTCTGCAGCCATCAGTTTTCATTATTCTCATGGTTGTGTGTCTGAAAATAATTTGTGACTGTATTAAATGTTGGTCACTGCTTTAAACCCATTAGGACAGGACAGATAAAGTAAAACAGGACCTGGGACACACTTTTTTTCACAGAAAATTACACTAAATCAGCTGATTTCCCTACATGAAGAAATCCCATCCAAACAGGGCTTGGTCATCTGTTACACTTAATAATACTTTACTTTATAGTTAGTTACAGCTAATCAGGGGCTCTTTGATTGCAGTGACCAGCTGGCACAACGTTTTCTTATTTACCTTTTGTCAAGTGAGACTTGAAACCTTTTGTGTTTGTGTTCAGTTTATTGAAGTGTCGCTAAATGTTGTGCGTCACTCTTTGCTTTTCCTTGTCCCACTTCCTCGTCTTCTTCTTTGACACCTCCGACAAGTACCAGCACCTGCGTCGAGTCACATGACTGTTTCTCTGCATCCTCGTCGTACGCTAAATCCAGTGTGCATGGCCTCAGACCTCCAGCTCCGCCTCCTCCTCTTCTCGGCCTGCGTAGCTTCAGTAGTGCCACGCCCTTGCAGGTGCATTTGGCCAGTGCGGCCAGTTCCTCCCTGGCGAGCGGGTTGAAGAGGAGGTAGAGCAGAGGGTTGACACAGGCTGGCAGTGGGGCAACAAGCAGCAGAACCCCCTTTGCTGCCTCTGGTCCAGCGGCTGGTAGGCGCAGGAGGGAGGAGAACGTAAGGAAGGCAACAGGGAGGTAGAGGAGGCAGTCAGAGAAGAGCAGCCAAGCCACATGTCGCGTCAATGCTGCTTCCTCCTCTGAGCTGGGTGGAGTCTTGTGGGCGCGACAGTAGAGATGAGTGTAGGAGAACGTCATGAGAAGGAAGCAGAGGGAGTCGAAGAGCACCAGAGACACGGAGAAGGCTAAGGACGACGATGATGATGAGGAAGGTAGCGGTAAACAGAGAGAGGTGCTGCTGTGTCCGGCCACCAGGGAGGGCATTGTGACAGTGAAGCCCAACAGGAAACACAGACAGATGGAAACACGGAAGGATAACGGCGATGAAGAGTGACCTGGATTTTTTTTAAAAAGAAAAAAAAAAGAGTGAAATCAGAAATCAACTTTTAAGAGTGTCTGAATGTTGGCAGACGAAAATAATAATATGTGCTGGATATCAATGACAAAAAAAAATTTGCTTTGAAAACTGTATGTAGACAGTAAACATGTAGACATGTTAAAGTCAATATCCAAATTAAAGTACTGATGAGCTGTTAAAGATGAGTTTAAGCAAAGAATGTCTTTTAGGCTATTTTTATTAATCATGAAGCCAAAAGTCATCTGGACAGAAAAGTTGATTCTGTTTATCTGGACGTAGCGTTTTCAGTGGGAGAAGCGTTTCATCACACATACAAGTGACTTCTTCAGTCTCAGCTGACTGCAGGTTTCCACAACCTTATAAACAGTACCTTTGAATAATGATGGAAACTAACCCACTGAATGAACAATGATAAGGACGCACACATCCTGGACAGGGAGGAACGCTGGTGTGAGCGGGGAGTCAAGGAGGCCATTTATGTAAAAAGGGAAAGACCTAAGTCGAGGAGGGGGCCTAAGGGCACCTCTTTCACCATCTTACAATGCTGTGATTGCAGCCAACTCTCTCTGAGGTACTCATGGCCACTGATCAATGGTCACTGGTCTCCATCTGAAAGCGCTACATCCAGATGAACAGAATCAGCTTTTTGGGATTTACTTACCTGCAGCATGCATCAAAACACAAAATGTCATCACTTTGGTGAAATTAGTTCCCCAAAATCATACAAGTTCACTTTCTTTAAAATTCAATTAGGGTTTGGTGGCTTTAATTTTTATCTCTGAGTTTGGTGATGCCTGATGTTTTTGGATATAAGAACAGTGTCATCTGCATAAAAATAAGCTTTGCAGATTTTGAATATATAACATGATGAAATGTACAGTTTTGGCATATAGAACTGTGTCATCTATGTAAAAAAATTACATAATTTTTTCACATGAAATTATGTAATGTGCATAAAAAATATGTTATATCTGTGGCATATAAAATAGTTGTGTTGCTTTGTAAAAATCGACTTGGACACATTTGGGTGGTAGAGACAATAATGTTGGTGTAGAGGGTAAATAAAAGCTGCTGGATCTACATATATGTTTCCTCACCACTGTTGCTAGCAGTTTTGCTGTGTCCTACAGTGGTGGCCACGCATCGCTCTAGAGCTGCAACGGTAAGGAGGAAGAGGCTGGTCTGTGACGCAAACACACAAAGGAACCCACTGAGTCGACACAGGAAGCTGCTCTCCCACTTTGCCCCGTACCTGGAACATACAATGTCAAAACACATCTGTCTCCACTCATAAAATCTTCGATTGTTTTGTTTTTGTTCACCACTATACACTCAGGTTTAGTACTCATCACTACATCTTATATACAACAGATGGGTAGTCTCTCTGACAGATGTGATACATGTATTTTATTGTTTATCTATGAGGTTCCTATTGGCAAGCTTCTCATGCCAATAGGAATGACAAGCTTGTCCTAAGACTCCAGAGTGCTCTCACTGTATCTATCACTACCCTGCCTGTTTTTGAGAATCTCAGAAATCAACTGTTCCCTGCTTCCAGAATAAATCCACAATGTCTTACGAGTCCCCAAAAATTACGTCATTGTCTGGATTCCTGTGTGCCCAAGGTCCCTGTAATCCACAGTGCTTTCAAAGCATTCTAATCCGACTGATTTTAAGGTAATTAAAAACACTCTTTGGAAAAGTAGTCCCAAATTCCTCTAATAATCAATCCCTAATTTCCTTAATACATACAGTATATCCCCCCTTCTCCTTGATCTCCTCCTAAATCCCTCGAGTGATACCCAGAGTCCCCAGTCTGTTCTGGTTTGGTGTCCTACCTCCAGAAGCTCCCGAATGTCCAAGCGTCCACTGCCGCCAACCAGCCGCTCCACACTCCCATCAGGCCATTCACCAGGGCAAGTAAGCCAATCAGTAGTTTGGGGGGAGTGAGAGAAGTGGCTGGAGAAAAGAAGACTGAAAGGACGACAAGACTGTTGCTGACCAATGAGATTGCTGCGATAAGCCAAACCCCACCACGGATCATCCAGCTGCCGAGCAGGTGGAGGCAGGGACGGAAAGGTCCTGCAGGAAACATAAACCATTAACACGATCTTTTAAATGTTTTTGTACACACAACTAGTATTTATGCTTCTGTAATGATAAAAGTCCCTTCCTGCAGCGCCCTCTGGTGTTTTACATTTAAAACAAGTATTTATTTTTAATTAAAACAAAGATATAAGATATGGATATACAGAAATGATTGTAAGCCAAAGAAGTGTGCCTCTAAGCTCTTATGTGCAACTGAGTTGTTTTTAAAATGTAGAAATGTAGAGCTGAGATTTTTCTCACAGATAAAGATTTAAGTAATTAATCCTCATAGGTAATGTAGCACTGATGATAAAGACTCAGCTATCATAGAGGTGCTGTTGATTTGATTCTCTAAAACTAATAAAATCTGTTTCAGAGTTGTGTTTCCTTAATTTTCATATAACAGATGTGTGTTTATTGTGTTTTAATTTGACAGACAGGGGTTTTTGGTACCTGGTGCCGGGCTGCAGTGGACTGAGTGTTGGGGTTTGGGCTCATCTTCCAACTCCATCAGGAAATCTTCCCAATCTTGATCTACTGCAGAGACACAGTGAGGACAGCAGTACGTTGGTTTTATTTCTACTTTTAGTGGAAAAACAAGCATCCCTAAGTCAAAGCTGAATGAAAAAACAACTTTGAACTGGTGATCAGCCAAATTTGAAACTGGAAACTTTATATTTTTATTTTTATGGGAAATTTTGATTACACCTCATATTAAATCTTACATAAAGCTCATGGAACTTTCCACTTTCCACCCATTCATTACCTGCTTTCCACTCTGACCAAGCTTCTTTTTAAAAAAAAAACAGTTTTGTATCTAATGAAGAAAAATGATGACCTGAATAAAATTTTAGGGCTGACCTGTGTAGAGGAGTGCCTCAAATCTCTGCTGGATTCTTCCCCTTTTTTTCTATAAATGCTTAACAAGCTCCATGTTGTAGTTTTGATTGACAAAAAAATAGAAACAAACTAACACTGTCCAGTGTTCTAAGTCCCATCTTAAAGGGGGTACCCCGAGGAAGGGTTTTCTGAGGAGTTAAATAAGGTGCAACCTCTGCCACTGAAACATGAAGCGGAAAACTGCAGTTCCTCTAGTGGCCACTTGAGGCGGTTCCAAAAGCGTGTCAGTTCCCATAGTCTCCCATGCTAAAATATCCAACTTTACAGCAGTAATAAACACATTTAAAGCGTGCTACTAAACAGTTGTGGCATCTATAGAAAAATTTCCAGTCCGGGGGAAATTGAGACTTAAAATTTAGTGACATGCTAGCTCTCTGCTAGGTCCATTAACTGGATTCCATGAACTGGCAGTCTGGACTGTATTTGTGCTCATGGAGCCTTTTGGAGAATTTCTAATGGAATTAACCAACAAATAATATGTTTGCTGTACAGTTAATTATCCAAATAGACTATCCAAAAAGAGTGTGCTCTGGTTTTGGTCTTTTACTTGAAATGAATGCAGCTTCCGAAGCAAAACAGTTAGTGTTGTCTGAATTCACCCTCTTGCTCACCTCTTGATCACCTCTGGCTCAAGATAAAGAGGCGGACAGCTGTCTCCATGAAGTTAAAGCTAAAGCAGAGGCTTAAAATGTGAAGCCCACAAACCAGCAAGTAGTTATGTCTACCTCTTATTAATACACTGATCAGGCATAACATAACATCTGTCCCCCTAGTGCTGTCAAAACCACCCTGACCCAACCTGGAAGATGTGCTGAGGTATCTGGCACCAAGATTTTAGCAGCATCCTTTAACACCTGTAAGTTGTGAGGTCACATAAAATTTGAAGACGGCATGTTCACTTGCCATGATTAAGCGATATCAGTATAATTCATGTCACCTGTCAGTGGTTATGATGTTATGCCTGGTGTATGTAATCATTTGGTTCCTCAGGTGAAAACTTCCATTGTGTGTTGGGGTTCACCTTGGCTGGAAAGGATAGCTGCATCTCTTCCAGCTGAGTCTCTTGCTTCCTCTCTCTCCCAGGACAAACCTCCTGCACCTCCACCTCTCCGCTCACAGGAGATGAAGGCACAGCACTGGAAGGCGTAGGGAAGCTCCATCACCCTGAGCACACACAGACGCACACAGTGATAAACACCTCTATCTGTCCAAACATGGCTCAAATAAATTCATTTTATTGCACCTGCTGTTCAGTGGAATGTCCCTTTAGATGCTTTCCATCAGAGATGGAGGAGACAGATTACACTGTGTGTGTGAGTGAGTGTGTGAATCTGCGTGTGTGTGACATCTAAACACTACAGGAGTTAATCAGCAGCAAAGTGGCTGTTAATTCAAACCTTTTCCTAAATCACATCAGCAGTGTTTGCATTGCAGGACAGATTTGTGGATAAGTCTGCTTCCTGATAACCATGTTGGAGGTCCGGCATCACAGTCTGGTGGTACGTGGACGTCTCTTAATACAAATATGTCTTCCTTTGTTTATGAGTGAATGCCCACCTGACTCGAGGCAGATCCTCTTGGGCTATTAGTTCCATCAGCTGCTGGTTTCCAGCCAGACGCAGGTGAGTCAAACTCTGCAGGCCACTCAGAGGCAGAGAGGAAAGCTGATTGGATGACAAGTCACTGCAAAAACAGAGGAAACCAGTGTGGAAACCAGTTAATTATATTCTATAACTAATTCAGATAAATTTAAGGAAAACAGGCCATTTTCCCGTCTCCTGGACATCTATAGGTTACAATCTCACACAAACCACAAATCTTCAACTTAAAATGACATATTTAAGGGCAGTTGAACATATTTGCTGAAAATTTAGCAGCTGTTTTAACGTGCTTCCTCAACTTTTCAATCAAAAATGGTTTTCCAGGCACCCATTCAGCTCACGAGTTTGTGAACGACCTGTGCTGCGCTTCTTTGTCTACTTCCTCTCCCTGCTTTCCTGTCCACTCTCCACTACTACGCTATCTAATTTTTATAAAAGGAATTTTTAAAAAATGGTTTCAAAACTACTAACCAATGTTCAGACAGATAAAGAACTCACAGTTTGGTGAGAGCAGGGAGAGCAGAGAACGAGTTTGGCTTCACTGATGACAGTCGATTCCAGGACAAATCACTGCAGGATAGAAAAACATGAAGTCAGAAAACAAACCAGCAGTCATGTGATCAGAAATACTGATTTATGATAATAAAAAATATGTCAGTTAAATCTACAAGAAGTTAGTTCTGCTAAATACTAGCCGTGGTGCCTGAGATTTAGTTGCTTTTTCCTTAACAGAAAGAACTCTGATGTTCTTCTGGTTGTCAACCCAGTCTGCAGGGTTTGTGGAAATATGTAAAAAATCAATGCGTTTCATCTTCTTTTGAATTTTTCATGATTGTATTTTAGCCTATGAATACCTTGTGTGCAGACACATAACCTTCTCTGTATTTTTTGTCCAGTTTTGTTTACTCCACTTTAATCTGTTGGTAAACTTTGTACGCTGACCTGATCTCTGCTGTTGCGTAGACTGTTAGTTCGGATTAAAACGAAAGCACCGCAGGCCTACGAAACAGCAGGTCTTTGTTTCTAATCCCAGAATAAAAGAAACTGTGCACATAATACTCTTACGTCTGTAATACCATAATAAAATTAGCAGTAATGTTAAGAGAGGCATGTCTCGTTTCTCAGTTTGAGATGCTGTAATACTGGAGGCTGCAAATAGTCCTAACCCTAACCCTAATAGTCCTAAGTGTAGTGTTAGTATGAGCTGTAGTATCAGGTGTAGTGCTGTACAGATTCTTGTCTTTGTTCCAAACCATAGCATCAAACCTGTCCCATCCACAAGCGGACCACCTGGATGACTAAGTGAGTTTCCATTTGGAAATACTTACAGAGGGATCTCTGCTCAGGATCTGCTGGCCAATTAAATTGGCGATGTGTGTCTGTGTGTGTGTGTGTGTGTGTGTGTGCGTGTGTGTTTGCATGCTTACAGTGAGCGTAGTGATAGCAGACCAGCGAATGTGTTTTCCTCCAGTTTTTCTACCACATTGTGATGCAGATCACTGAAAAACACACACATGTTTGTATTTCTATCTTTGAGAGGACCATCGCTCATATGATGCATTCACATGCCGCTCCATCAACCTGAGTTCTCGGGCTGTAAATGAAACATGGTTTATGGAGAAGGTTTGGATGAAAGGCTGGAGTGTGTGGAGAAATGCCAGCTAGTCTGGTTGGTTTAATGAAGGTAACTCCAGGTCCCTCTATTCATTGTTCAGTAAAATTACAAAACCTCCAGACACATTCTCCTCCCACATGTATTCTGTTGATTTTTGCAACTCTCTTGTGCTCTTTTTTCTCTTTTTTCACTTGTAAAATCTCAGACATTCACCGTCAACTTAACTCTTTAGGAGCTCCTGACTCTGAAGTAGACTTCCTGGTTCCCCTACTGTCTTCCTGTGAGTTATTTTCAAGCTTTACTCTTCCCTCCATAACTGACGTATCTAATCTCATTAAAAAATCTAAGTCATCCACCTGTCAACTTGACCCTCTCCCTACTGTGTTAGTTAAAGCCTGTCTTCCCTTGTTAGCACCTCTCATAACCAATATTATTCATTCCTCCCTGAACACTGGGATTGTTCCTGAAGCACTGAAAAAGGCTTCTGTTATCCCAATTCTCAAAAAGCCTGGTGCAGACCCCAATAACTTTGATAATCTTCACCCTATATCAAATCTCCCCTTTATTTCAAAAATTCTTGAAAAAGTTGTCGCTGCCCAGCTTCATTTACATCTCAATGACCATAATCTCTATGAACAATTTCAATCTGGTTTCCGCCCCAATCATAGCACAGAAACTGCTCTGTTAAGAATTACCAATGACCTTCTGATGGCAGCTGATTCTGGTCTCCTATCCATTCTCATCCTTCTTGATCTTAGTGCGGCGTTTGATACCATTTCTCTCCTGAACCGGTTAGCATCCATTGGTATTAGTCACACCCCCCTTGCCTGGTTTACCTGCTATCTCTCAGACCGCACTCAGTTTATCCTTAAATATCCTTTAATTTAAATCCCATTCCTCAACTCTCTATCCTGTTTCTGCTGGTGTGTCCCAGGGTTCAGTATTAGGGCCTCTTTTATTCATTATTCATATGCTTTCTCTTGGTTATATATTCCGAAAATATAATATCAATTTTCACTGTTATGCCGATGACACCCAGCTCTACCTTTCTTCTAAACCCAATTCATCTCTCCCACCTACCTCCCTCTCAAACTGTCTTATTGAGATTAGATCCTGGTTCTCCTCCAATTTTCTCAAACTTAACAGTAATAAAACTGAAGTTTTACTTGTTGGTACACCATCTATCTTAACCACATCCCACAGTTTTTCCATTAACATTGAAAATGCTCCTACCCTTCCCTCCCCTCAGGTTAAGAGTTTGGGTGTCATACTTGATAATACTCTTTCATTCCAGTCTCACATTAATTACATAACCCGGTCTGCTTACTTCCATTTACGTAATATTAACCGACTCTGTCCCTTCCTTACTCCTCATGCTGCTGCCATCCTTGTCCATAGTCTTATTACGTCCCGTATTGATTACTGTAATTCCCTCCTATTTGGTCTCCCTAAAAGGTCCTTTCATAAACTCCAACTTCTTCAAAATTCTGTAGCTCGGGTCATAACTTGCACTCCGTTAAGTGCTCATATTACCCCAGTTCTCTGTTTTGTAATTTTAACTTATTTTATGTATTTTATGACTACTGTTCATTTTATTAATTGTGTTTTTTGTAAGGTGACCTTGGGTTTCTGAAAGGCGCCCTCAAATAAAATGTATTATTATCATTATTATTATTATTATTGATTAGTTGTATCCATAAGCTGTATGGGTGCTTCACACGGGCACACATACTGTACCTGCTAAATAATAGATAAAATGGGGGGTGCCACTTGATCTAACTCATATCCCCCGAAAACTAAATCTGAAGCCCTGAACTGTACAAACTCTCAACTCTCACTGTGCAAAATGTCCTCACAAGGCCCAGAACTCACTGCGGTCCTCACAAAAACAGACATACATGTACACACACATATTAGCCATCGTTGTTTCCATTACATCACTAAAGAATCTGTTTTACAGCAAGTGTTTCCTGAATGACCTGATTGGTCAGAAATAGACTATGAGGGTGATAATTATTCCCACAATGCACAGCTGTCTGTACTTTATTGATTGTTATGGTAACTTCAGATTTAATAACTGTGTCTTAAAAGCTTCACGGGCAAAAAATAAGCTATATCCGACCCTCCCAAAAAAGGCAATAAAACATTAAGAAGAACAGTTTAATTAAATGTAAAATGAACATTAAACTCACATTTTTCGAATGCTCTCACAGCCGGAAAAGCTGGGAAGAGTCTGGATTTGATTATAGGAGAGATCGCTGCAGAGGGAGAGAGTGAGTTGAAGCTGTCAGCACCGTAATTTCCTATACACACTGAACACATCACAGCAGCTCCCAGCATACAAGCCAAGACTTAAAAAAATATCTGAAATAAATGAAGCAACAGCAGATATGATTTGATGGACAGACATGAATAGTCCCTGATGATATACAGGGCCTTCAGGGACCACCTTCAGCCTGAGTTCAGTGTTCAGAGACATGCAGAGATGTGGATGTAATTGTTGTGTTTGGACTCACAGCAGCTGCAGCTTTGGAAGCTGCTCACAAACCGAACTGGGCAATGAGGTGATTTGAGCTCCGGTGATAGTCCTACACACAGAGAGATAAAACAGAACTAGTTTTCCACGGGAGCAATTTAGAAGTACATTAAAAATGTGTTATGTATTCACAGCCCTGTTTCTAATAAGAAGAAACAGGGCTGTGAATCTTGTGAAAATGAAACAACCTAAAAGATAAAATGCTAAAACTTGGAATTTTTAAGTTTTTTCCCCTTACAGACATTACATTCATATTACAAATTTATCATCAGCAACATGTTTAAAAAGAATGTGCCAGGGAATATTTCACAGTGTGATGCCTTCGACCTTCTTTAAAAAGAGTTCTTGCTTGTTGCAAGTTAGCTAGCTGCTCCATAGATCTGGACTGCCTTTGTCATATATTTAGTTTCATATTGTTCCAGATGTTTTTAAAGGGCTGGGATACATGCAGAATGTGGTTTGGTATTGCTATCCTGAAATATGCACGTCTTTCTCGTACAGAGACGCTGGGAATCTGGGTGGTGACATATGTTTCTTCAAAGTCTGTAGAAACCGTTGAACATCAATGCTGCTGTCACGGATGAACAAGATACTCCCCCCACAGGCACTAATGCCTCTGTAATACCATCATGGAGGATGGCATGGTCTTGCGTAAATAAGCAAGGTCTTCATCTGGATGCATTTGTTTTTTAAGTAGGATTATACAACTTTCTCAGCCTGATCGTGACGTTTAAAAAAAATAAATAGGAAAACTGTTAGATTTTTTAATTTTTAACATTAAATAAGGTACAAGAAGTAAGGGAATTTGTGTTTGGTTGATTATTTCTTTATTGTGACAGTGCTTCTTGGCAGTAAATGTTATACTGTTGAAAAACTTGTTTATTTCCCCTTAAATGGTGCCACACTTGTAAGGAAATGAATTTGTTGGTTGAGCAGCAGAGTTGAGTATGTGGTTTGCACCCATGAAAAAATTGACAAATCTTCTCTGCCAATGACAAACAGCTTATTCTGCTTTTGGCTTTTGTTTTGAGTTTATTGTACTCCAGGTGTTGGAGGCAATCTTAAAGCAGAAAGACATTGAGATAAGGTTCTGCAACTTGTAGCAATCCCATATCTCCACAGTCTGGGACCAAACTCTATACTCCAAGATGACAGTATTTGCCCCCACAGAGCGGAGTTTATCAGAGACCACATCCAGAATTTGGGAGTGGAGAGGACGTAACGACCTGCCTGCAGTCTTGACCTCAACCCCACTGAACTCTTGTGAGATCAGCCTGGCTGTGCTGCTCCTGTCAGAGTGACAAACACACCCCCACTGACCGACTTGCGGCAAATGCTAGTTGAAGAATGGGATGTCATCTCTCAGCAGTGCGTGTCCAAGCTCGTGACAAGCATGACGAGGAGGTGCCAGGCTGTCGTAGCTGCACATGGTACTTCCACATGCTACCTGTTTGTTTAATGAACAAATTGTTTCTTCAGACTTCACTCATCCAATCCAGTAAACGACACCAGACAAGAGTCGGTAGCAGAATAAGATGTTTGGCACTGGCAAAGAAGATCTGAGTTTTTCATGGGGGCAACCCACAGATGCATTTTCCTTGAAAATGTGGCTCCACATCAGAGGAAAAGGGGAAATAAACAGGCTTCCTAGTGCTATAAGATTTATTGCTAGAAAGTTTGTTACAACAAAAAAAACAATCTGCCAAACGCAGATTCTTTTGGCCTGTAAAGCCTTTAAGAAAGTGATTAAATCTGAAATTAAGTTATTGTTGTCTTTGAACCATTTTCAATTTATTGTAGTCTTGTTTTTTTTGGAAACAGGTTAGTACACAACATGTTTGGGTATATTGTATTGTAAATTGTGTAAAATAAACTGTATATGCTTGTTAAATAGCATGTAGAAACATTGTGATGTGTCCAGGGGCGTCCACAGTGCATTACACTTTACAGCCATGTGTTGAGGTGCTTTGAAGTTGCATTAAGGTTGGAATGACTCCCTTATCCACATGACTGAAATGAAGCCAGTACAGTAATGAGTAATACGGTGAGCGGTCCAAGCTCATTATATGAAAAATAAATCATCAATATGGAAAAGTCTGATTAAAGAAAAGCAGCTACGTGCAGAATTTGGATTCACAGGATGAAACAGGATGTTGGAGAGGGGGGTTAACACTGGAGGGGGTCAAATGGAAGAATGTGGGACGGTTTGTTTGGTTGGACTTTTTATTTCCACCTACTGGTTCAGCGTGAGGTTACTGTTAAATACACACTGCTTTCAGAAATGAGCTTAAATGGAAAAAGACAAGAAAATAAACACAGCCAAGGTGTTTATTGTGACACGGAAAAGTGGGTCACAACAAGGAGAAAGAAGGGTTTTAATTTCACGCCGAGCTGCAGAAAAATAAAGTTACAGTCTGTCAGATAGAATAATAATTGCTGTGTATTAATAACAGCAGTGTGATTTGGGGTGTTCAGCTCTCAGAAACACACTCGGATATGAAACATTCCTGTGTGTGTGTGTGTGTGTGTGTGTGTGTGTGTGTGTGTGTGTGTGTGTGTGTGTGTGTGTGTGTGTGCGTGTCACTTACAGGCTCTCCAGGCTTTTGGTTCCCGTCAGATCTGGAAACTCAGTGAGATCTGCAGCTCCATTCAGAGATCTGAGAGTTGGACACGGAAAGAGCGTTTAAGCTAAGAGAAGCAGAAAATGATTTACTGCGTTTCATTATTTGCGTAATTAACATCTGCACTGAACAAAAGGGCAACAGGGAGGTTGAGTCTGCATGTCATATATGCTCAGCGATTACTTGATATTTCTCATCTAAAGCTGTCAACACTTGGATCTGTCATGGGGCGGATCTGTGAGGTTCAAAGACAGAAGCTTCAACTTCAGTTTATCAGTGCTGCTTCTTCTTCTTTCAGCTGCTCCCTTCAGGGGTCACCACAGGGAATCACTTAACCCACTCTCACCCAAACCCCCCATCCTCCTCAGCCACACCACCCTCTGCATGTCCTCCTTCACTTCAATAGTTCTGTCACCACCAGCTTGGCCTCCTGTCTTTTTTTCCAGTGCCACCGTCTCCAAACCAAACATCACAGCAGGTCTCACTACCATCTTGTAAACCTTGCCTTTCAGTCTTGGTGCTCTCCTTCTGCTACAGTCGGCCATTGCTTTGGATGGTATTTAAACTCAGTTTATGGATATGTTCATTGGAAACCACTGAATCTGTCTTTAGTGGCTGAAGGAAAGGGCAGATGGACATCTCTTTGACTCCACAGCTACTGCTTTATGCCATCCATACATCCAGATGTAAGACATTTTGGTCCAGCATCTTATGTTGTCATTCCATTTTGCTTTGATGCAGAGCTGAAACTTCTGAGGCAATGGAAGATACCTCTACCATACTAAGGGCCTGTGAAAGGCCAGCAGGCATTTTGATCATCCTTGATGGTCCTACAAGAGGTGGCTAACTTTGTAATAGCTGCTGCCATGCTCTACCTTCAGAGTATATCTCTGTGGCACTACTGAAACTGGTCTTGGAGCGTGAATGGAGTGCATTTGCAGCTTGGTTTTGAAAGATTTTACTAATGATATATTCCTAAAACAAAATCAGAAAAATGTAATTTGTTTTCCTGAAATAAAGATAACTTAAGGACTTGTGATGCTGCATGAAGGGTCCAGCAAAATGTCTTCAGGTGCCGTGTTTAAAGAAATAAAAAAGAAACAACTATCTCACATCCTTAACGTGTTGACCGGAAATCCAGAGCAGAAATTATGTAATACTGATAATATACATATCTGTGACAAGATTGTTAGACAGAAATTTGGGTCATGGGCATTATTGCCTCATCTTATTTGGAACTTTATTCATGTTTAATGAACATCCATCAATCGAACAGAAGATGTACAGTGATTAATAAATTTATTAGCGCACCACCCAATGGAAGGATATGCCATAGCTATCCTAAATGCACAGTATTGGTAATTACTGAAATCACGTTTTATGTTTCTGTAATCGGTTAATCAGCCTGTATGAACAAGCTTGGTAATTCTTAAATACTTGCTTAAATATTTAAATACTTTACTTGCATTCCTGAACAGAAAAAATATATATTTTAATTTGTTGAATGTTATGCTTTCAAGTGCAGTGTGTTGGCTTAAATTTGGAATGCAGTTTGTTTTTGCCTAATAAGTAACAATATAAATGTAGTTTTGCAGATGTTTTGGACAGATGTCTAAAATACCTGTTGTTTTCTTGGGTTTTTTTTGGGTAAAATTCCCTGCTCCTTCTATTGACTTCTAATAATGGAAGAAAGTTCCCATATTTATGTAGACATGTTTAAAAAATTGCTCCTTGATATCAGTTTCACTTTTAGTTTAAGCCTGTTTGTCTAGAAATGATCATTTGGACCTTTATGAATATTATCGGCTCATAAAGTTCGAGGAGTTTATGTTATGCCAGCCTCCTCTTTGAATGGCTGGAAGGAGTTTCTGGTGTGAAGGTGAAGGTCCTTACAGTTCAATCTAAATTCAGATTCAAGAATATTTAGAAAAGATTCAGTAGTTTTAACTGACTCATTGCTTTGAGACTTATTTATGTCTCTGATCTTGATTAGGCAGAAGTAAAAATGTCTCTATTCTATTGTTTGTCAGGCAGAAAAGTCCCAAAACATACTGAAGCACTTAACAGGTTTAGTTAAATCTATAAAAGTGCTGTGCTGTGTTATTTGTGTGTTGAATTTGAGTGTTTCTCACAGCATGCGAAGCTCTGGTAGGTTCTGGAAGGCCGAGCGTCCGACAGAGTGAATTGGGTTGTCATAAAAAAATCTGCAAAACATCCACAAAAACACGTTTTTCATCTCAGGCTGCAGTGAGAAGCTAACAAGTGTTAAACAGAGGTTAGCAAAATTACTTAAGATGCTGGATATAAACATGGAGACAGCCACCATGCTATTGTAGCTTTTTGATTTCTCATACGACAGGGGATCGAACTGAGAAACCGAGGGGCTCTGCATGCCCCACCCTAAAACATAATAAAACATGTTTCATGATCTTTTTAAAAAAAATTATTATCACTAATAATTATCACCGAGCATAAACATCATGTTTAGCTCAACAAAACTCATCAGCAAAGTTTTTATCAAGGTGACAACGGAGTAAGAAGAAGGATCATCATTCATGACTGTCACTATCTTAAGGATATAAAAAATAACAGATGAATTTAGCAGATTATTGATTTTATCCTCATTAATTTTGGAACCAGGAAGTAAAAAATATTGCAATCTGTTGAATCTGTTATTAGTTGTACCTACATGGTGTTCAGTAAAGGGTTCCCAGTGAAGGCGTGCTCCGGGATAGACTGGATGTTGTTGCTATGGAATCCGCTAAACGGGAAGATAAAGGAAATTAGTTTCCACCATGTGTTATTATAAAAGTTCCTTCCTTCATTTCATCATTATTACTGGGAAACTTCACTCGCCCTTCTCGTTATTTTGATGACAGTCGTGATTGATTGAACTAACTTTCAGGGAAATTTTTTTATTGATTTTGTCCTTTTTTCTTTTTCATCAAATATGTAAACAGTCAAGCATAAGATGCTGTCCACATCTTGCCTCATATGCTAAAATTTTCTAAACCGGAGAACCTGAGCTAGCCATGTCTGCTGTGGATAAACAGATGCCTTTTTCAATCAGTCGGTTGAGACTCACAGCTCCTTGAGGTGGCTGAGTGATCGTATGGCTGTGGGAAACTCCACCAGGCTGTTGAAGTTCAGATCTCTGAGGAAGAAAAAGAGAGATTTCCTTATGTAGCGTCTTCTGCAGCGCCCCTTGGTGTGTAAATGCCAAGGTGCTAAAAAGTTCTGCTGAACTTTGTTGAATTAATTACCTTTCACATCAGTAAAGAAGAAAACTAATATTTCTGTAATATTTCTGACAATAAAATGTTTATAAATTAGAATAATGTTTGTTTCAAAAAAAAAAAATTGGATTTGTCACCAGTAGCAGGAAGCACCAGTTATACTGGCAATGGCAAAGTCTAGGCTAGAAATACAATCTCTGTACTGAGAATTGTGGACTCTCAATTTGAACATAAATCCCATATTAGTATTGATAAATCTCAAATTGAGAGTATAGTGTAAAATAGAGATGGCACGATACCACTTTTTCATGTCCGATACCGATAATGATATCATAAATTTGGATATCTGCTGATACCGATATGTATCCGATATAGTGTTTTTTAATCAATAAAACTGTTTTTTTAATATCTTGCTGCTTTTTGTATAAGTTCATACTCAAGTTAAAAAAAAACCACTAAAGCTATTCTGTCATACCTGTATGCAAAAAATACACTGCACCCAAAATATTTCATAGTTCAGCAAAACTGATCAATCTAATAAACTTAAACCTGCACCATCCTCCCTATTCTGGTATTTTAAAGAGTACTTAGCAGAAATATTAAGCAACCTAACTAATAGGGTTCTAAAACTCCCAGCAAAAACCACCCCCAGCAAAAACCACGAATAAATTCTTTACAAATCCTACCATGTGGATTCATGGATTTTTTTTTCACATTCTGTCTCTCACAGTTGAAGTGTACCTCTGGTGCAAATTACTGACCTCTGTCATCATTTTAAGTGGGGGAACTTGCACAATCGGTGGCTGACTAAATACTTTTTTGCCCCACTGTATGTAGAAAAGGATCCTGGTGTGCAAAGTAATATTAAATCAATTCTAACAACAGATTATCAAGCTTAAAGGTGCTGCTGTTGTTCAGCCGCTGGTTTCCTCTTTCTGGAGCGAAGTGGGCGATAGACAAGCAAGAGAGACGGACTCGTGACAGAAAAGCCGATCAGCTGATCATTGATCAGTTTCATGATTGAAGTAGCAGCAGGAGAGGGAGGGAGAGGGAGGCAGTCGTTCCATATATCGGTTGTTAAGCTTAACTCGGCAATGGTTTACAAACATTCAGAGAGGAACTTACACATTTGCTTTACTTCTCTCTGGGATCACTTCCTCGGAAATGAAATGCCGGATTGGTAGCGAGGCTACAAATACACACAGCCGCTCTATCACGTGAGGCATACTGCTGCCACGTGCTACGGTTATTTTGTGAGGTGCTTTTTTGTTATTTAATGGATCGGATTACATTTTTTTATTTCTCTCCAATATCCGATCCAGTAATTTACGTCAGTATCGGACAGATACCGATATGTAATATCGGATTGGTCCATCTGTAGTGTAAAGTATATAGAAGTATATACACTTTATATATAACTCTGTACTCTTAATGATAACCTTTAGATTGGGAATATAGCATGGTAAACACCTGCCCTTGGGGAATAATATACTTTAAACAAGGAATGTTGGGAAGCAAATAGCACCAAAGTCACACCAATAATCTAAACTGGAAATTTCATCTCCAGACTGGTAACTGCTTCACATTTAGAAAACCAGCTCTACACTGGGAATTATGTTAGTTCTATTACAAAAAAGCAGTTTTTAAGTAGCTGTGGGAATGTCAGCTTTATATTAGAAAAGTGTTTCACGTAAATGTTTGGGTTTTAAGTTTGATGTTTAGCTTAATCTTTTTTTCCCCGTCTTTTGAGTTTATTAAAGAAACATTTAACTGTGCCTCCCTCTTTTGCTCTTTTCTTTCATCACCAGCAGAGACTAGAGCATTCTTCAAGTCCACACATGGCTTCAATTAGGTTCTCTCATCCATCTCTGGGATGCAGGTGGCTATTATACACACTGTGTGTGGAATGAAGCTGCCACATTGTGAAAAATACCATTAAATTGAAATTGCTTCCGTCTGGTTCTGAGTGTGTGAGTACATGTGTGTGTCCGGGGGACGATCAGGAACAACAATAACTGGTATGCTTTCTGTTTTCCAAGGTTATTATTGATGGAGCTTGGACGTTTGGGATTGGATGAGAGATTTTTCAGACATCTACAATCAGGTTAGGATTTTTGGATTTGTGGCTGGGTTTGTATCAAGCCTTCTTGTTTCTGTCTCTCATAGATTACTTTAGTTTTGATGTAATGATTCGGTTTTTTGTAATGAATGTATTTACAGAGATAGGAAAATTAATAAACCTTTGCCTTGAAGTTAAGCAAATAATTTGTTACATTAAATAGTAAATAGTAATCAAATATCATTTTAGCTTAAATTCTGCCTCCGAATAATTGTGTCTTCCATGTCCATGTAACAAGTGTTTTCTTTTATTACTTTGTACTTTGATTTATAGCGTTATAGATGCACATCAGTTAGCATGATTAGCCCCAGCCTTGCTAATGCTTGCTACACTTAGTAAGCTAATCTATTTATCCTCTAAACAGGAAATATTGAGTCAAATTTGTAATGTTAACTCTCAATGTTTTGAAGCGTAACATCAGGGGCAAGAACGATTACGTTGGAAATATTAATCTGGGATATGATCGGTCAAAACTTGGACTAAAGGCTGTGCTAAAAATCCTGTGAGAGGTTATGAGTCATCATAGGCATTAAGGCTAACTCTAATTTAGGACAATTTTGTTAATGAAAGTCAGCTCAAGATTTGGACATCTGCTGCCCTATGACAACTGGGATAAGCTCCAACCCAATGAATAAATGGGAAAAAAATGGATGGATGGATGGATGGACGACCATTATCAAATCTGGATTAGGAACATCAGCCATGCTCGACGCAAGCTTTGGATATTATCATTTTTAGATAGTCTGTACTGGAATGGTTGGCTCTTGGATAAACACCTTTACAGTGGGAATGGTGAGCTCTGCACACAGAGTGATAAACCTTAGCCAGTGAACTTGAAGAGTTCAAAGACAGACCCAATGAATGGGAAATACAGCAGGTGGAAATAAACCCAACTGATCCCTTAAGACTTGGTTTTCATTGACATATATTACTTTCTCTACTGAAAATAATTAAGAACATGCTATGGCTCATTATCTTGACTGTCAGGTGTCAGTCAGCATGGTGGTTTTTATTTTTGTGGGTTGGGTCATGTTACCCACAAACAGTCTCAAAGGTTTGTGTGGAGATGTTTTGAGAGCTGGATTTTGGTCTTCTGTTCACCACTGTTTCCGTCACTTACTGGAACCAGAAAATCTTAATTTGGCCAAAAGGGAGGAGGCCTACATGAAACATGAAAGAATGTTCTTCCACAAGTCGGATGTGTTTTCCTTTAGGTCTGATCAGAGCTTGGTTGCATTAATTTTTTTTCTGCTCTCATATCCGTTTTCCTGGTCCCTCTCTGTCTGTGTTTGTAGCTTCAGATGAACACGAGTCTCTGCTCTGGTTTATTATTGCTCATCATACAGGTACACAGCCTCCCAACACGCATACACACACAAACACATGCTGCCCATGAATGTGTGTGTGCATGAATAGTAATTATGATTAGCATACAGCCCAGGCCACACACAGAGCCAGCTAAGCGCACACAGAAGTATTTCCAAATGAAGTCCGTGTATGTTTGTGTGTTTAAACCTGCTTCTCTGGTTGACTGAGAAAACAGAAACATTTCTATCCACACACACATTCCTCAGATTATACGCACACACACAACATAAACACACACACACACAGGTTAATCTGCTCTGTCTCCATTTAATATTTCCATGTAAAATGCTTACTGGTGACGGCAGAAACAACTGGTATCTCACCATAAAGCGTGTACTGGCTTGGATTGCAAATGGTTAAAATAAGATTGATGATCATTTTAAGAGCGAGCATTTCTCAGAAAATTCCCACATGTGTTTCTGTTCAAGCACGCGCCATTTTTTAGATCTTTTAAAATCAGCTGTATGTGGAGCTCATGATGCTGCTAGCCATCAGTAAACTGTACTGTATATTAATAATATACCTACAAATGACACAAATAGATGTTTTGATCTTGGACAAGTTGGTTGTAAAAAATATGTTTATGACAAAATAGAATATAAATCTAAAAAAAGCGTCTAACTTCTGTGATAAAGGTGAGGTTTTTACAGCCTATTTTTAGTCTTCCTCCCTGTATTAGTTAATTTCTGCCTTTATTTTGAAAGTCAGCAGCCTTTCATGTTTTTACTTCCTTCCTTTGTTCTTTTCCCACCCTGCTCACGGTCTTTATTGAGTTTCTCCCTCAATCTTTGTCTTCATCATCAATTCTTGCTCTCGTGTTTCTTGAGCCCTCCAATGACCCTGAGTTGGATAAAGGAAAGAAAATTGATGTTTTTCCATTGTGTGGATCTTATTGTTTATCTGAAAGCTCCAGATTCTTTATTTTTTCCATCAGCCTGACTGACCTGTCTCCTTGGTGTCTATAATTTGGATTGTTTACTAAGTTGAACAAAATAAATATGACGGCTCATCAAACAGACTGCAACTTAAGAAATCAAGAACAAACATGAAGAAACGTCAACACGTTGTGTTTTACGTGTTTTTGCAGCCTTTTTCTATTTGCTGGTGTTGCATTGCAGTTGATCTCACAGGGCCACTGTAAAGTGCCATTATATACATTGAGCCTGAATATACATATATGACAGAAAACAACATTAAAAAAATAAATGTATCAGATTTATCAATTGTTTTTTTTCTTTGTTTAACGTTTATTTATTACTTACTGCAGGGATCTCAAACTTTCTCCTGATAGTCAGAATTTGGCGTAATCCAGTCCAGCCCACTGAATGCCTTTGCAAACTGAAATAAATGCAGGGATGGAGTGCATAATTTTCAAACTAGATGTGGGCTCCAACTTATCAAAAAAAGATCATCAAGCTGTTTATTCTCTTCAAAGCCACAGATCTGAACTGTCGGCAGTTTTACAGTCTTACCATAGCTTGCCTTACCACATCAAAATAAAATATGTACGCTAAAGAGCAGTGCTAACATTGCTCTTTAAGGCTTTCTCTGGAGCTTTGCTGGTACTTTCTCTTTGTTTCCTTATATCTTTGTGCTAAGGTAGGCTAAAGATGAAACTCTTGAAAAGAAAGAAAAAAGATTCCTCCAAATCAGTGCAGGTTCTTTGAACATAAATCCCATTAAGGATCCTCTACAAATGTAAAAATTAAGGCTCTCTCATCTCCTAACCCTTCACCCTGACCCCAACTCAACCCTGACTGCTCCAACTCCTGCTCACACGCACTCACACGAGCGCACACACAGAAACTCACAGCGTCTCCAAACTGTGGAGTCCGTGGAAGCAGTTCGGTCCCATGGAAACGATCCTATTGTTGTTGAGATGCCTGGGGAGAGAGAGAGCGAGAGACTGATGGACTAATGAAGCAGACAAAGACTATGTGTGTGTGCGTGTGTGTGTGCGTTCTTTCAAAGGGGCCCAGGAGTCTCTCAAGAAGGTTTTTTTCTTTTGGTAATTTCATGCAAATTAGCTTCAAACCGATTGGACAAAAGGAATGACAGCAGACTTCAATGCTGCCGCGCTGAATGCCATCACACAAACAGAGAGCTTGCATGTTATTAAGGAGCTAATACAGACGGACGGGGACAGTCGCTTCCACGGTTGAACTTAATGCTCCTAACAAAAACACACACAGATAAAAACAAAAACACTACCCAAAAAGTGGAAAAGAGTTTCTGTAAGCCTGCATATGAAGAATAGATCTGATTTAAATCCTGATGTTTTAAGGTCAGTAAACTTAAGTTAAGCTTTTTGAAATGAGTTTAAATTAAATTACACCACACACAACTATTTTTCTGAATCTGAAGCAGATATATGGGCAAAGAATGAATTTTTATTTATCATTTAACTCATTTACAAAATTTTCAACTTTAAAATATATAGATACATTTTTAAAAAGATAAAACAAATTTAAGCTAAACTGTTGTAAGATGGTAGTCGGTGGTTATACCGCACCATCATTTTGGTAAACGAGATTCTCCTTTTGATCTCCTCACAGAGTGTTTGCCTGACTTAAACTTGATTGGTAAATGAAAATCATACTACAAGCAGGAAATAAATGAAATCCATTTGACCATGAAAAATCTTTTTCTCCCTTTTGCTACAGATTCTTTATGTTTATATACAAATCTCAGAAATCAGTTTCTGAGATTACAGCTACTGGATCTATGCTAAAAAATGTCTCAATTATAACAGAATAACAAAGTAAGATAGCCTACTAATAAACTATCTACCTAAATCTAATGTATGGTATGTTTGCTATGGACAACCACTGTTGGATTTACTCATAAATAAACCAAATTTAGCCAGCTCCTTTCATTGGTAACCAGCCTAGTTTAACAGCAAATCTACTACCAACACCATTAGTTAACTGGTCCTCCAAGACGGTCCTGTAAACATTCCAACCATTGTAGATAGTTGGAATGTACAGGCTATCCTGTATATATTGTACATACTATTGTTTGAGTACTTACGATTGTTTTTTTGTACTTTTTATATTTTACATTTATATTTATTATTGAAACTTGCACCAAGGGAGTGGCACTCCAATTTCGTTGTACTCTGTACAATGACAATAAAGGCTATTCTATTCTATTTCTATTCTATTCAATGGAACCCTAGTGTCACATAAGGTGTTCTACTCTATTCTACTCTATTTGTTTGCTCTGGATAACCCAAGTTGTGTATACATACAGCACCACCAGGCGGCCCAGCTTGCTGAAGGCATGGTCGGGGATGTGGCTGATGTGGTTGAGGGCAAGTGTCATGGCCTGCAGGGCAGGGAGCTCGCCCAGCGCCTCCACTGGGACCTCCCTCAGAGAGTTATCATCCAGCCAGAGGTGACGGAGTGAACGCAGGCCGGAGAAACAGCCAGCGGGAACACTAGAGATATGATTGGCGTCCAGTCGGCTATGAAGAGATATACACACTGAATTTAAATGTACATTCAAGCAAACAGTTATGTGTACATATATATGTAAATGCATTTATGAAGTTTCACACACACAATCTACACCCATTTTAGCTCCTACCTCAAAGCACACTGTGCGCTGTCGATCCTACGTGCTGCACAATAATATTCAATATTTACTGTTATATTCACATAGATCATCACGATGATGTTGTTTATTATATTGCTCTTTTTTTTTGCTTGCTCTCTCTTTTTTCTTTCTCAACAGTTGATCCAGGTGATTGATATGTGTATTTTTTGTCTGTTTGTTTTGTTGGTTTTTGTTTTTTGCCCTTCATCACCGTTCCTCTTGCCTGCTGTTTTTCTTTCCCTCTTTCTTTCTCCCTTTTCTTTCCCCCAGTCAAGTCTGTCCCATGTGTAGCAAGTGAAAATAAAATAAAATAAACAATAAAAGCAAAGGTGAATCAAAAAGACCAATACAGCAAGGCCGGGATGATCCATTTGGTAAAATAAATCTGTTGGGCATCTTTCTTTGCCTTTAGACAATAATTCTGATGGCAAAAGAACCAAACGGGACAGGCGGGAAAAAAAAAAGTTTCACTGAGCAATTCTGTATACATATTGCCAATGAGTCAGGTTGGTGCAAACACATAACTGTATATAATATGCAGAATGTAAGATTTTTGGTACTAAAAGTTTTTTGCTCTTTGCCAGTAAACGAGAGGTAATTTCAAAACCCGATGATCCTATAATATTTGCACATAGGAAAGGATGGCTAGCTAGCTCCAGATATCAGATAGAAACATCAGAAATCTTAAACTATTGGCCATTATCCCCAGAGACTGGGACGATTCCCAGATTGGTTTAATCAATAAATTAGGGACAAGATTTAGGGTTGGCTCCAAAATTAAATTTTCTGTTTGGAGGTATTTAGAAATCTAGCAACGTTTCTGATTCAACTGTAGAAACATAAAAATTAATAAACAGCCTTTTAAATTGAAGAGTTTTCTTTTTCTTTAAACTAACAACATACAGTACAAAAAAGTGCAGTTACTAAAAAAAATGGTAAAAAAAAACAAAACCCCAAAACAAAACAACAACAACAACAAAACAAAAACAAAGACTAAATTTAGTGATGGAACCTTCGACTTCTGGGCCCTATTTCAGGAAGCCGGTTTAGTGCAAACTCTGAGTAAGTATACCCTGGGTTAACGAAAACTCTGGGTTTTTCGGTTTCACAAAGCGAGTTTAGATTAATTCTGAGTGAGTTACTATGACGACACACTCCATGAAGCTAACCTGCCCCCTAGCAGGTTTACTTCAACTAACCCTGACGTATTCCGCCTCTTTGTCAGAAACCTGACTGTAGGAAGTGTCAGACATGGCGTGTCCCTTCCTTGAAGAGCCAGTAGATGTTGAAACCCAAATTCTCCGCAGAGCTCTCCGCCGGGAGAGAGTGATTAGAGCGCGTTTGGACATTTTATCATTTCCTGATGATTTCCTGTGTGAACGTTACCGTTTTTCAGCACAATCTATAATTTATTTGAATAACATCCTCAGGCCTAATATTGCTCATGTGACACATCGCAGACATCCTCTCAGTTCTGTACATATTATTTGTATTGCACTTCGGTTTTTTGCAAACGGGAGCTTTCTGTATAATATTGGTTACGCTGAGCACGTTTCCAAGGCTACCGTCTGTCGGGCAGTCAGGAATGTTACAGTTGCACTGAAACGTCTCCTGTACTCGTTTGTGGTGTTCCCCGGTCATAGACCCACAAGATTTATCAAAGAGGGATGCCACAAAATTGCAGGTATCAGGATGACCAAAACTTAATTCATGATGTGGTGATATTTGAACTACTACTTAAATTTTACATTTATTTTCACGGTTCCCAGGCGTGATTGGCTGTACAGATGGCACTCACATTCCAATCATTGCTCCTTCAGTAAATGAAGGAGACTATGTGAACAGGAAGTCTTTCCACAGCATTAATGTACAGGTACATACAGTGGGGCAAAAAAGTATTTAGTCAGCCACCGATTGTGCAAGTTCCCCCACTTAAAATGATGACAGAGGTCAGTAATTTGCACCAGAGGTACACTTCAACTGTGAGAGACAGAATGTGAAAAAAAAATCCATGAATTCACATGGTAGGATTTGTAAAGAATTCATTCGTAAATCAGGGTGGAAAATAAGTATTTGGTCACCTCAAACAAGGAAAATCTCTGGCTCTCACAGACCTGTAACGTCTTCTGTAAGAAGCTTTTCTGTCCCCCACTCGTTACCTGTATGAATGGCACCTGTTTGAACTCATCATCTGTATAAAAGACACCTGTCCACAGCCTCAAACAGTCAGACTCCAAACTCCGCCATGGCCAAGACCAAAGAGCTTTCGAAGGACACCAGGAAAAGTATTGTAGACCTGCACCAGACTGGGAAGAGTGAATCTACAATAGGCAAGCAGCTTGGTGTGAAAAAATCAACTGTGGGAGCAATCATCAGAAAATGGAAGACATACAAGACCACTGATAATCTCCCTCGATCTGGGGCTCCACGCAAGATCTCATCCCGTGGGGTCAAAATGATCATGAGAACGGTGAGCAAAGATCCCAGAACCACACGGGGGACCTGGTGAATGACCTGCAGAGAGCTGGGACCAAAGTAACAAAGGTCACCATCAGTAACACACTACAACGGCAGGGAATCAAATCCCGCAGTGCCAGACGTGTTCCGCTGCTGAAGCCAGTGCATGTCCAGGCCCGTCTGAAGTTTGCCAGAGAGCACATGGATGATACAGCAGAGGATTGGGAGAATGTCATGTGGTCAGATGAAACCAAAGTAGAACTTTTTGGTATAAACTCAACTCGTCGTGTTTGGAGGAAGAAGAATACTGAGTTGCATCCCAAGAACACCATACCTACTGTGAAGCATGGGGGTGGAAACATCATGCTATGGGGCTGTTTTTCTGCCAAGGGGACAGGACGACTGATCCGTGTTAAGGACAGAATGAATGGGGCCATGTATCGTGAGGTTTTGAGCCAAAACCTCCTTCCATCAGTGAGAACTTTGAAGATGAAACGAGGCTGGGTCTTCCAACATGACAATGATCCAAAACACACCGCCCGGGCAACAAAGGAGTGGCTCCGTAAGAAGCATTTGAAAGTCCTGGAGTGGCCTAGCCAGTCTCCAGACCTCAACCCCATAGAAAATCTGTGGCGGGAGTTGAAAGTCCGTGTTGCTCGGCGACAGCCCCAAAACATCACTGCTCTCGAGAAGATCTGCATGGAGGAATCGGCCAAAATACCAGCTACTGTGTGTGCAAACCTGGTAAAGACCTATAGTAAACGTTTGACCTCTGTTATTGCCAACAAAGGTTATGTTACAAAGTATTGAGTTGTATTTTTGTTATTGACCAAATACTTATTTTCCACCCTGATTTACCAATAAATTCTTTACAAATCCTACCATGTGGATTCATGGATTTTTTTTTCACATTCTGTCTCTCACAGTTGAAGTGTACCTCTGGTGCAAATTACTGACCTCTGTCATCATTTTAGGAGGGGGAACTTGCACAATCGGTGGCTGACTAAATACTTTTTTGCCCCACTGTAGCTCCCTGTAGCATTTCAAACTAACAAATTATTTCATTATAGTAATGGATGCTAATTTGTGTTCTCTGCACTGTGAAGATCATATGTGATGCTGCCAACATTATCACAAATATGGAAGCCAACTGCTCAGCCTCTGTGAGTGGTGGTGGTGGAGGACCTCCACCTGTTTTTCGGGCCTCCGCTTTTTTTTCTGTTGGCTATAACGGGTCACATTTGAGCATACAGACTAAGCAAATATGTACTTGTAATGTGCTCAGATAATTTCAATAAGTGCTTACAGAGGGGAAATTAATGTAGCCTCTAACTGCAATTGATTTACATCGGACAAACAGACCAAGCACTATGGCTCATAATACCATTACACCTCACCTGTTTGGACTATATTTTTATATTTCATTTTTACTTGCTGCCAGGAACGTTTGGGGCCTGTTGGGTTGCACCTGCGCTCACATCACATCACAAAATAAAATGTATAAAATATAAAATAAAGTAAAATATAATAAAATAACGTGTTAAATGGGTGGAGATCCCTAGATCAATGTTTAAATTAACACTCACGCATTGACTCTGTCGGCTATGTTTTGCCATGCATGCTCCCTTTCTTTTGCAGCTGAGGCTGTGTTACTTTTTTTCCGCAAAATTTGCGTGTTATCGGCATATGCTGCCATCAGAATTTCGGCCTCAAGTGCTGTAAAATACATTGACCGCGCCTTCTTTCCCTCCGTCTCCATGGTGACTCGCTTAATCTGTGCTCCACTAATCAGGGCTTTATGTATCCTCGTGCTTTAACTTGGGGTTAAAGCAACTCCGCGTTGACTGAACTAATTGTTATCAGCCTTTCTTTCGAATATTCCGAGTTGGACAGTTCGGGGTTACTCAACCCTGAGTATCGTTTTTCACTCTGAGTTTTCTAAACCGGCTTCCTGAAATAGGGCCCTGCTCTGCAGATAACATACTAATTTCTCATTTTTAATAAAAAGTACAAAAAACCCAGCCATCCTTTCTGCAATTTTTAACTTAATGCGGCATTATAGTTACATAATTAAGACACTTTAGAACTAATAACTCTCTTTACTGATTAAATTATTATTAAATTATTCACATAATAACAGAAAACATCTACTTTTTGAGATGCACAATAAAAGCTCTATGTTTAGAGACTCAAAATGCAAAACTGAAGGCTTCACTTCACTGTCTGTTCAAGAGGAACATTAGAAATCAAGTGTTTGACCAGCAGCAAAGGAATGATCGGCAGGCTGCTCAAGCACCACTCAACCAGCCTCTCGGCTCTCAGGTCAAATGAAGGTATTTTAATGACCACACTTATTACTCATGTGATTGTGTGGATTTTGTGAGTCGGACAAAGGCATAGCTCTCAAAAAGCAGGAAAATTAAAACAATAAGCCTTAATAAGTGAGTGACTGAACATTTGTTAGGCAGTGGTATTAAACAATGCAAAGACGCAAAAATAATTGCTTAATTATTTGAACTGAAGCATTTAAAGGTCCATTTTAATTTGTTTGTGTCTTGTTTATGTGTTAATTAACTTCTATACACATGTTACAGCATCAAAACATTTTTTTCAGTCTTACCACCCTGTTTGATTTTTAACTGTGTTGCTCAAAGAGAGGTTGTTAGGTAGAGCTGGATCAGGTGACCCTGAACCCTCTCTTAGTTACGCTGCAATAGACACTGACCACTTCTTCTTCACTCATCTGTTTTCACTCTTCATGAGTTTATACACCACTGTTTAATCATTACCTAATTCATTTTAAATTCTGGCTCTCTTTCACAGTGTGTCTTTTGTTCTGTTTCCTTCCCCTCACCCCAGCTGGTTGCAGATGGCTGCTCCTTCTTAAGCATTGTTCTGTAAGAGATTTCTTCCTGTTAAAAGGGAGTTTTGCCTTCTCACTGTTGCCAAGTGCTTGCTCATAAACTGAGTCATCTGATTGTTGGGGTTTCCTCTTTACACAACAATTTAGGGGCTGAGGCAACATTTGTTGTGTTTAGCACTATATAAATACAACTTATTTGAATATTATAATACATAAATACTTGGTATAGCTTTTCCTGTTTTTTATAATATGAATAAAATCTGATAGACAGTGTTTTAATATTTCCCAATATGGAACATTTTACCTTTAACACCTGTTGATTTGTGCTCTGAATCAGGGAAGTTTGATTCAGATATAGATGTTGCATATAGGATAAATGATAATTCTGCTAATGCTACATGCTCAGATTAAACTCAGTGATTGACTGATTGGGTGTGGGGATATTTGAGATATTGGCACAGAGATGTCTAAGGGTCTGGTCTTAATTTACTAATTGACCAGTTTAATATTAATTTTAAAAAGTTACTGAATATCATTCAGTTCCCTTTTACTGACTTTTGCTGTCTTGAGTTCAGGCAGAAAACTCACAGCTCTTTTGCAGGCTGTGCAACATAAACATGCAAGATCTGTAGATATAAAGAGAGAGCTGACTGTATGTTCATCCTAACAGTAGTTCCTCTGTTCACATGGAGAGAGAAGAGAAGGATGGGACTTCACATAATTGTCCATTAGATAAATGAGAGAGACCTTAGACCAAAAGAAAGACTCAGACGTCTCCATTCTTATACCCTTATCTTCCCCCCCCCCCCCCCGAACACACACACACACACACACACACACACACACACACACACACACACACACACACAGCGAGAGAGAGGTACAGTTTCAGTATAATTACTGTGTGTTATCAGGCTCAGAGAACACACTCGCTGCACTACATACATTAATATACTGAGCCGTGTGTGTGAGACAGATTCCTTTCCACCAAAGAGTAAAATGAAACGAAGGGATTAGTGCAGCGCTCCCTTTTTTGCGCTACAGACCGGTTTATACCTTTAAGCTGTCGCGGATAAATACAACAAAATGAAACCAGTACTGGTAGCAAAAAAAGGAAGATTTATTCATCACCAGTGTTGGTCAAGTTAATTGAAAAAGGTTATCAGTAACTAATCACTGATTACTTCCCCCAAAAAGTAATCCTGTTACTTTACTGATTACTTATTTTCAAAAGTAATTAATTGTTAGTTACTTAGTTACTTTTTAAAAACACGATTTACAACCTGAATAGGTAATAAAGAAATCATTCAGCCCAATTCTACTTTTACTGCATAATCCATCATATAAAATGTAATCAAATGGAAAGGTCCCTTTTTAAAACTTGTTTTATTAGTTTTAATCTTTTAACTTTATGCATCAAGCAAAAATTCAATTATATGCAACATTCTCTGACTGGAAGAAATTTGTTTAACATTTAAACCTATTTTCTGCACATCCCAGCACATAAAATAAAATATTTTTTTGTGTTTACACTCAGTCTTTCAAATAGATGCAAGTAAAACACAGCAGAAAATATCAAAGACTCAGTGGTCCTGTTGCTCTATTTTCACCTGTATAGCAGGCAGAGGATTACCCTGGTGCAGATGTGCCGCAGCAGTCAGTGGAAGAATCTGCGAGTTTGTCTATGAATTTCACATTCCGTCGTAGCGCACTCGGTGCTTGCTTGGAAGTTAAGGGTTTTTTCGCTGTAAAAATAAGTTTTCTTCCCACGCAGTGAACAGCGGACGCTAATGTTTTTGTCACTTTTTACGGAATCAAACTCAAAGTAAGGTCAGTACTTCCACGCTTTAAACACTGCACGCTCATACTCTCTCCCGCACTCGATATATGATCCATTGTTTATCTGCACACAGCTGTTTCCACGAATGTCGTACTCGCTTACGTCATTGTCACTCTTGCAAAAAAAATCACAGTTTTAGTAATGCAGTAACGCGGCGTGCTTACGGGAAAGTAACAGTAATCTAATTACCTTTTTTTGCAATAGTAATCCCTTACATTACTTGAAAAAAGTAATCGGATTACAGTAACACGTTACGCGCTACTGCCCATCTCTTTTCATAACACATTCAAAGACCCAGGGAAACCGAGTTAACCCTTCAAACCCTGACCTAATTTACCCTTTAAACCAGGGGAAGACAACTCCAGGCCTTATGAGCAGATGTCCTGCAGGTTTTAGATGTGTCCTTGATCTAACACAGCTGATTCAAATGGCTAAATTACCTCCGCAACATGTCTTGAAGTTCCCCAGAGGCCTGGTAATGAACTACTCATTTGATTCAGGTGTGTTGACCCAGGGTGAAATCTAAAACCAGCAGGACACCGGCCCTCGGGGCCTGGAGTTGCCCATCCTTGCTGAAAATGCTAACCGTCACCCGTGATGGGTTAGGGTTTAAAGGGTTAACAACAAAAACGATAAAAAAATAACAATTAAAACAGATAAAAACTCTGAAAACTCAACTCTCACGGCCCGGTACCAAACGACTTGGGTTGAGGACCGCTGGATTAGTGTGTCTATATGTGTATTATTCATTTTTTGTAGGAAAATTAAGCCATTTTAATATCGCATGGACTTATTATTGGTTATTGGTAACTTTATTGTCCCTAACGGGAAATTGATTTGCAGTATGTCCGTACAAACAAACAAACAGACAACCAACACATCACATACACACTCCAAAATAATATAATATAATATAATATAATATAAGCCTGAGAAAACAACCTAGATTTTTCATCAAAAAAGTGCAATGTGCAATGGCAACAACACTTATGGTTTAGTGTTATTAACTATGATAATAGCAGTAGGTACAAAAGACAATCTATGTCTCTTTGTCTTCACTGCAGGCACTTTATAACGACGACCTGATGGAAGCAGTTGAAAATCATTAAAGAGAGGATGATCTGAGCACAACAGGACAGAGGTTGCCTTCCTCAGCACATAAAAACATATGTGCTGAGGAATATGTTAAAAACATGTTTTAACAAATGTTCCCATAAGATACATCAATAGCACAAAGACAGAGGGTGTAGTTTAACTTGGGGTTAAAGGTATAGTTATATTAAGCATAGATTCAAAATTAGGTTTACATAAGACAAATGATTATAGCACACAAAGGAATTTAAGAGAAACTAAAATAATACACAGTATTAATAAAAGCTAAAATGTGTGGTCAGTAAAATGGCACGGTATATTTATAAAGTAAGAATTAACATAATATAATACACGAAACTAAAAAAAACCAAAGTGAAATGTGACTCACAGTGACTGCAGGTTGTGCAGGTTGTTGAAGGCTTCAGCAGGAACAGATCTCAACTGGTTGTTTTGAAGCATCCTGTAAAAACGCAATCAAAACTTTAACAAAAAGTGTTAAACGCAACAAAACAACACAAAGATGGTTTACAAGGACCACATTTTGGGAAATACTAGAGTCGCATGTATATCTACAGGATAATCAGAAGCCAGTAATCTTAGCATAAAGTCTGGAAATTAAGGAAATAGATTAAAAGTGGTGAATAACTATTTTTATACTTGTCTGTGTTGTGTTGTGATTTTTAAAAAAATATTTTAGTTTATAATATTGGTTTGTTAAAGGATATATCCTCCTTTTCTTCAAGACATGTTTGTATATTAAGTAATAAATCAGACTTCATAGATAAACATACCTGGGTGTCATCTGCATAGCAAACAAACATGTATTCTGTGTTATCTAAAATATTGTCTATGCCTTTCAAAACTGCAGCTTTCACTGCCAATGCTCCTGGTTGCAGAGTGACTAAAAATAGACTGCTTACTCTGTTTTGGCCTGTATATGCTTGCATTTTTTTTTTTATGTTGATAGGTTATGTTCTTTTAGATCAAAACCCATTAAGTGCAACAATAAACATGATGTTAATGAAATGAAAAAGTATTTAAAGTATACTATATACTAAGTAAAGTATTAAAAAAGTTTAATACCAGATAAATATCTGTAAAGTACCAAATAATTCTATGAATACAAAGATGTTTATACTTAATAGTAATATTGACATGTTGTGTTGGCTTCAATACAAGACTCAAATATATTTTGAGGCTCCCTACAGATTTTGGGGACAAAATAATTAGCTCAAAATGGCTCTTTAGATTGTAGAAGTTACTGGCCCATGAAAATATAATAGGCCCTAGTGCACAACCCTGTGGAACTCCATTTATTACAGAATTTGTTTTGTAAATCTTTTAGAAGTTTCTGTGTTACCTGGAAACTTATTTTCTTGCTTTCTTTCTGTGTTGGTCAATCCCAATTATTTTATGAAGTCTAACAATAAAACAAAAAATGTGAAACGTCCATTCATAAAACACAGCCAGCTGTGGCTCAGGAGGAAGAGCGGGTCTCTCTCAATCAGAAGGTGAGATGTTTAATCTCTAGTTACTTCAGCCAGCATGTCAAAGTCTTTTTGGACAAGATATCGACCCCTGAGTTGTCCCTGATTAATCCGTGTGAGTGGGTGTGTCAAGGTGCATAGGCATAAAAAAACAATTGCATGAATGTGTATGATATTGGGTGAATGAGGCTTGTAATTAAAAAGCCCTTTGTGTGTTCAGTTTGAGTAGAAAAATGCTTTACCAAATACCAAGTTTCAAGACTAATAATGTGTATGATTGTAGCTTTTAGAAATATTATAAAGACAGTACTATAAAGTGCTGCAATAACAGGAGTTCAACAGTCCCAATGTTTACAGATCAATAAAATAGAAAATTAACTGACCCAGAAATGAACAGAGAGAAGAATGAAAGACAACAGAATAATGTGTTGGTACGAGCGAATGTGTAAAATGTAAACAGGGAACAGAAGTGTTGTTCCAAACTGCAGAAACTGTGCACTAAACCGAGACACACATGAAATGTTCAAAGTGTCTCTGTGAATGATTAGCACCAGTAAACATACCACACAATATTCCAGTGTTTGTGTGCGTGCTTGTGTGTGTGTGTGTCCGGGGGGTAGGAGGTGGGTGAGGGTTGTGGAGAGGGTGGGGTTGAGTTGCTATCTTTCTGAGGACCCTTATCAGTTTTAAACAATCGTAATCTGTTAGATCGCACCTTTATCACTGATGCTTTATGCACCCCGATGTAAACCGTATACAGCTCTTATCTTACTCCAGTCCCATTTATCTTTGAACATGTGTGAAGTCTCCAGTGAAGTTTCACTGCTTGCACAATGACAATAAAGCTCTCTGATGCATCTTGGCCAATCTTTACAAATTCAAAGGACGTTTAAAGGTCAAGATCAAGTTTGAAGGAACAGATCTTAATACAGGTAGAGAATAGCCCAGTAAAAATAGCCCAGCAGAGACAGTATAATGGGATTAAACAGTCTAGGTTAAACACCAAAAACCAATAAATGGGTTTTTTTTAGTGTTTAACCAGGATGTTCTTTTAGGAACATATTCACATAACAATCATAAAATATGTATGTTTGCTGAGGCATCATGCCAGTGAGGAAATATGTGTGAACTTACAGCACTTTGAGGTTGTAGAGGCCAGTGAACGCTCCTCTGGGGATGAAGGTCAGATCATTTCCCGCCAAACGCCTGAGACACAGAGAGAGAGAGATTATAAGCATTACTGACTTCAGATCATTTTTGGCCAAATTAGCATAAAAATGAACTAAATGAGGGATGTGTTTACAAATGGAAAATATTTTTTAATGTTTCTATGAGGAGTCCAAAGTGAATGTTTTTTGTGTACAGCCATGAATATCTTTTACACAGGGTGACCCCAAAGCACCATGTCAGTCTATAAACAGCCTCCAAATATGAAAATGAAACATGTACCGGTATGAGAAAAGGTGTCCTCTTCAGTGTTCCAAGTAAACTTCAGATGAAGTGCCACCATCACCTTTCAGCGTGTCCACCCCCATCAGAGATGGGCCAACCAATCAAAGCTGCTGCATTCATGCTAACAAAGTGTCTCAAAAAGAGGGCTTTTACTATTCTTTTACACTTTGGCAGTGGGTCCTTAGTGCTTTTGGTGCTTGCTGTTGTAGGTGGAGGCATTTACAAAGGAGTATTAGACATTAAGAACATTGTTTTAAGATAAATTATTATTGTTCATGTTGAGAATAAAGTGGGAATACGGAGGTTAAAATTGTTTCAAGTCAAACAGCTGCCACGGCTGCTATACTCTCTACAAAATACCATTTCAACTTTAATCTCAAAATTTTGGATTTATTCTCAAAATGAATAATAATAATGAAAAAAAAAAATCCTTTTCATTCCTAATGTAGAACTCATACTCCGCTGTGGGTATTTCCTCAATTATGGGCCTGTTGTTTGTTGTTTTACTTCTTCAGACGGGACGTCAGAACACAGTCCAGGTGAGGATGTTAACAGCAAATCCTTGAGCTTGCAGGGTTTACTGCAACCAACATTTATCTTAATATTTTGAAACGTTTCCGAGTTTAATGCAAAAATATGACATCTTATATGCTGAATATGACAGCATCTTATCTCATCTTTAGAAGATGCCATTCCTAAGCAATTAAAATTTAGAGCTGCTTGGATACAGTCTGCAAGATGAACTGATGAATTTGTTTCCAAAAACTCACAAGTTTAGCTTTAAGACTCGCACTGAGCATCATCTTTTAGACAAGTTGACAGTCAGACATCAGGTGTGTTTGGGGATCCGTGTTTCCAGCACACACGGTGCTTTCATTTCAAACCAACAGCAAAACACTGACCCACAGTGGGTCCTGTAGGTCTGTATGTTTTTCAGGGGCCACACAAAGTTCAGCCAGTCTGCCTACACCCAGCATGCATCTGTGCGGTGTCCTATCGCCGCAGTGACGTTTCTCACGCTGCGGTGACAAATATCACACACACACACAGACACATACAGCTGGCAGCAGAGCATAACAGCAGTCAGAGTCATGTTCAGGTCCCTGTGAGGTCAGCCTCGCTGTCTCTCGGCTCCCCAGCTTTAAGGAAATGTTCGTACAGGACGTGGCGGCTGCTAGGTGAGGAGAGATGGGATTACATATCATCTCCTCACAGATACATGAGCTCAACGCCCGCTCAGACACCCTCACTTTCATCCATCTCAGTCCATCGCCCACCAACAAGAGTTCGTAAGATATCTGATCATGTGTGGAGACTTGAAGGATGATAAAGAAGAAAACATATACAAGGTGTGGAGAGGAGATTCTGAGAACAGGTTCTTAAAAGCTACAAGCCTGGTTTAAGTTAGCCTGATTGTTGGTTCAAGGTCATCTTTTCGTGCACCTCTGGACCATTTTTAGAGAGGCTTCTACTTTTAGAGCAGCTATTAGCGGTGTCATCATGTCACCTTGCACTTGTACCTCTGTGATATATGCTGAATCTTCTCCATTGTTTCGAAATGGCAAGACTTCTTCTGAGTCTACACTGACTTCAAGTAAGTCTTCAGGAAATAAGTACAGGTTGTGTAAAGGCCCTCTGAAATGATGAAAACATGACCATGTGTTTGTGTGACTCACAGCTCCTCCAGGAAGTGCAGGTTGGACAGAGCTCCACTGGATAACACAGTCAGATTATTCATACTGAGATCACTGCAGAGACACAGAGAGAGAGAGAGAGAGACTGTTAGTGTCGCTCTATCTTTAGCTTTAGTCAGTCACATCTGACCTTTTGGCTCAGACGTGACTGACACACCTGGATTTGTAAGTACAGAAACAAAACAGAGCATAAACTAATAAAAAGTCATCCAATACATATTAATGAATCAGTGTTGACTGTAAAAATAATGACACACATTGAAAATAAACAGAATTATTTAGACTTATGAATTATTAAAGAACCACAGAGACCTGTTTATGCTCAGACACAGGAACCATTCAACAGCCTTCGCACGTAAAAACATTTAGTCTGACAACCTCTGGGAGCCCCGTTACGCATATATTTCCACATTTGTGAAGACCCCTCATGCTGAACCCAAACTAATGTCCCGCTGTTAATGTAGGGGAGCCAATCAGAAAAATGATGGCTTTAATAGGAAGCACTAAAACAAATCGCTTCAGACAGAAGATCTGAACTGAAGGGCTGCACGAAGGCCCAGTATAAGATTAAAAAGGATTATTTTGCAATTTCAATCACACAAATCCAGTCTAGCAGAGTTCAGGGTAAAAACGAGGTGGACATGAGTGTAGCGGTTTCCTATGCACAGAGTTAGACATACAAGCACATAAACACACCCATGCAGGACTTCCCGCCTCTTTTAAGGCCGGTGAAAGGAATGAGTCAACACACACCTGAGTGAGAAACAAGACAGGAGTAGAAATTACTGGAAACACTGAAAGCAGGAGAGCCGGAGGAAAGAAAGGAGCAGGTTTCCCTCCTTCACGCTTGCTCACAGTGACCTCAGCCAAACTCAAACACTTTTATCTTCCCTGTTCCTTCACGTTATCTTAGCTCAAGAACTTTGAATCACTAGTGACAGCTCTGATTTGTACACAGATCTGTGTTGTTTCCCACTAAAAAAGACTCACAGAAATCTACAGTAATGGTCTCTGTATTCTGATCTTCAGATTTATGCGCTGCAGTTAAATAAACACTCTCAGACAAAGCTTTAGTCCAACCGCTTGCTAGCTGCTTTAACTCGTGTTTGCTAAAGCTATTTTGTTAAGTTAATATCAATAACTTTTAATCTCTTGACGCGTGATGAATAACCCAGGTAAGGAAATCCAAGGAGGTTGATTCAGTTCACCTGAACACAAATTTCAGTGGGAGAAACACTTCATCCCTCATCCAAGCAACTTTCAGCCTGAGCCTGGAGAAGTGACTTCAGACTTTAATGAAGATGTAGTTTTAGACTTTAATTAAATTTAAATTGGCGAGTCAAAATATTTCACCCACACACAGATGTTATGAAGTCTTAATTAAAATTTTTGTCCAAACACCAATACCATAAAACAAGCCTCCAGTAAAAGTATTTTCTTTGAGTGAAATGGACCTGAAAATAAAATAAATGAATAAATAAACAAACACAAAGGCTGATAAAAAAAAACATTTGGGGCATTCTGAAAGAGAAAAGCTACCGCATAAAGTGGAAAATCATCCATTAAGTTACAAAATAATTGTAAACAGATGAAAACTGAACACAGAAAAATAAATTACAATTAAATTAAAGATTTTTTACAAAGAGAAGCAAATGACTACAAGTGAAACAATCTGATTATAAGGACACAGCGCATTCACAGAATTACCGAAAAGAAACAAACAAACAACCAAAAAAAAACCCCACACACTACATCACTATCATAACCCACGCATACACACCTGTGCATCCACACACCTCAACACTATGTCAGGAATGTGATCTCATCTGTTTACTAGCAAGGCTGCAGAAACAGAAAAAAAATCATCAGCATGTTGGTTAATTTTTTATTTATTAATTTTTTTGCTCGACAATTCACGTTTGGGGCGCTGTCGTGAATATTTTTGGAACTTTTATGGCTCCACGGCTCAAAAGCAAAGTCAAAACAAGCCGACATCGGTGCTTGTGATTGGCTGCAGGGACACCGTTTGTTGTATGTTGTGTTTGTGTGCAGCCATGACGTTCTTCCTCCTTTCTTTTCTTCTCTTATCTGAACCGTCTATTTTCTGCTCTCTGATAACTATCGGCAGGTAGCGTCTTTCCAGGAGGGCTCGGGTCTGAAAGGAAGCCGAGACAGACTGTCTCTGTCTTTAACACACACACACAGAGAGAGAGAGAGGGTGTGTCTGCAGGTTGAATACACCGGTTGTTAAGGAACTTTCTCAACACTCCATAAAACCTGTTAATGTGTGTCCACAGGTAGTCTGGTCGCACAGACAGACACACACAGAGCGCCTCTGTTTAGCTTTATTTTAGCAGAATGCTCCTTTACTCTTGAGCAGACTAACGCCGTTATGGCTGATTGGCTTTTACTGCCGCTCACAAAAACACCAGCACATTTCATTCATTCATAAAGATAAATATGTAGTCGTGTAGGCTGCGTGTGAGCGTGCTTCAACACACCGGGCTGTTCATTAGTCAGGCGGAGGCCTCTGCATGCGCCCACATACAGAACATTAACATAAACAGAAATCGCTGTATGTGTTTCTTTATGATTGCAAATGTGATTTTACTTAAAGCTGCTTATTTCCAGCTTTAAATGTTTTTAATACTTGGGCTCTATTAGAGCAGCTTTGTATGATTCATATTTCAAAATAATCCTTTTTCATCTTATAATGAGCCTTGATTTTAGTCCCTCAGCTCATCCACTGTCTGAAAGAAGCAGTTTTACTGCCATTTGTTCACTTGTTAGGACAACTTATTCTGATTGGCTCCTTCTCACAAACAAGAGGTTTGAACAGCAGCTGGGTGTGGCTTCTGTGCTTCGATAGCTAGAGGTGTGTGTAGAGCTAGAAGTGGGTGTGCAAGTGACTCACTTTTGGAGCCTCAAGTGGACATTAGAGGAACTGCGAGTTTTGGGACTTCCACATTTGGCTGTATTTTTTGGTCTCGGAGGTTCCTGATCATTAGAGTATTCGGAAGCCTTTTGGTTCACAGGGTTACATTTAAAGAGATGCTTAATAGGAACATCTACTGCAACAAACAAGTTAAAGCAGATTGGAATCTGAAGATATGAATGAGTTAAAAAGGTTTTTACTTAATACAAAAGTTCAACTTTAAGAATAGTACATTTTTAGAACAGTTTTTTACTTTCATGAATCTCCATATTATCAAACAGTAAGGTCTCTCCCCTGTAACATTAGCTGCTGGATCACCATTAGCTCTTGGCACAGACATGGAGCACCATATGCTGTCGTATTATGTTATCACATCAGCACCATCCTAAGGATCTCTGGAGGGTCACTACATGTTTAGCGCAACATGACACTGACCGTCAGTGGAGATCAAGTCTGGAGCATGAAAAAGAAAAAGCTGTTAATGAAAATTACTTGATAAGTTTATTAGTTTGGTAACTTTTGGTTTGTTTTTTCTTGTTTAAAGAAAATTGCAACAAAACACAAAACCATCAGTTCATAACAATCATTGTCACCTTTACATATCTTTCCTCGAACACCTGCTCTCCTCGGCTCGGTTTTTAGGGTTTTCCATTACGTGGTAGTACCTGGTACCAGGTACTTTTTTTGGGCAGGCTTCCAAGCAAGCTGAGTCAAGCCAAAACTGTGACATCAACACAACACATGACAAAAATTTGCCAGGGAGTAACATCACTAGATGAGTCATGAGAGCTACACGCAAACCAACAGTGCGGTCTAATGTCGAGAAACAGACGCTTACCACCAGTTTAGCAGTCAG